ATGGGGACAGACATGGGGCTCTGTTCCTGCCCATCCCCCTCCCCCCCACACTCTTGACAGGCAATTTGCTAGTATATCAATAAAACATTGTGTTCAACTGATACTTTTTATATATATATTAGTGGTGTTTCATTTTAACAGCAGAAAAATGTGGATTTGGGAATTTTTAATCAGACAATTTTTATTTTTTTTTTTTATCAGAGAATTTGGAATTTTTGAACAGAGAAAACCTGGATCCCTGGTTATGAATGATGCAGAGAAAGCTGAATTATTGAATAACCTATTTTACTTCAGTCTTCACAAATAGGGACAGCTACCAGATGGTGAGTGCTGCTGGCAACATAGATAGGAAAGGAGACAAACAGCCTAGAATAGCAGAATAACAGGTTAGGGATTGCTTAGAGAAGCTAGATGCTTTCAAGTTCATAGAATCATAGAAATTAGAGTAGGAAGGGACCTCAGGAGGTAATCTAGTCCAACCCCCTGCTCAAAGCAGGACCATCCCCAACTAGATCATCCCAGCCAAAAGCTGGCAGGGCCAGATGGGCTACACCTTAGGGTACTGGCGGAATCGGCTGAAATAATTTTAGAGCCACTGGCTATTACTTTTGAGAACTCATGGAGGTCCAGTTAGGTCACAGATGACTGGAAAAGAGTGCCCATCTTTAAGAAAGGGAAGAAAGAGGATCTGAAGACCTGCAGATCAATCAATTTGACCTTGACACCTGGAAAGAACATGGAGCAGGAAAGAATCTATTGTGAAGCACCTAGAAAAGAACAAGGTGATCAGGAGCAGCCAGCATGGATTCATGAAGAGCAAGTCATGCCTGACCAGTCTGATTTTGTTCCATAAAGTGACAGGCTTTGTGGATGCGGAGAGAGCAATGTATGTGATATACCTTGAATTTAGCAAGGCTTTTTCACGCTCTCTCTCACAACATTCTCATTAGCATACCGAGGAAATACAGACTACAAAAAAGTACTATAAGGTGGATGTATAATTGGTTTAATCTTCATACTCAACAAGTAGTCATCAATAGCTCAATGTCTAGTTGGGAGGAGGTATCAAGTGGGACTCCCCAGGGGTTTGTCCAGGTTCCAGCATTGTTTAATATCTTCATTAATGATTTGGATAAGGAAACTAAGTGCACACTTAGCACATCTGTGGACAACACCAAGCTGAGTGTAGCTGCAGCCTGGAGAAACGGTCTGGAATCAATCAGGTGAAATTCAACAAGGAAAACTGCAAAGTCCTGACCTTGGGACAGAATAACTGCATGTACTAGCACAGACTGGGGAATGGCTGGCTAGGCTGCAGTACTACAGAGAGGGACGTGGGGCTTACAGTAGACCATAAACTGATTATGAACCAACACCATGCTCTTGTTGAAAAAATGCCAGCAGCATACTAGGTATTAGTAGGAAGGTTGCTTACAATCAAGGGAAGTTATTCTTTTGCTCTATTCAGCACTGGTGAGACCTCACCTGGAGAGATGCGTCCACTTTTGGGCCTCAGATTTCAAGAAGCATGTTGACAGTTTGGAAAGTGTCCAGTGCAAAGCAACAAAATGCATTAGGGGCTTGGGAGGCAAGACTTATGAGGAAAGGCTGAAAGAACTAGGGTTATTTAGTCTGGAGGAAAGAAGACTGAGGGGGGATTTGGTAACAAGCTTCAAATACCTGAAGGGTGATTATAGACACAATGGAGATGGGTTTTTTCACTGTCGCTGTAGCATGAGTGACTGGTGCCTCCTGAATCTGGGGAGGCACTCGCAGAAGCCAGTGACGGTAGCAGCCCTACCAACAGCATCAGTGTCGGCTGTCAGGAGGGGCACCGGCCCCATCGGGGGGGCATGTGCACCCCCTACCAGTCACCTATGCACTATAGGACACAGGATTACGATCAATGGCCTCAAGATGCAGCAGAGGAAATTTAGGTTGGAGATTAGCAGGAACTTTCTGAAAAATTTCGAGAGCATGGTGGACAGACACTTGGCTAGTTTAATCAGGGATCATCCTGCCTCCAGCAAGGAGTGGATGACCTTACAGAGGTCCCTTTCAGCCCTACTTTCCTATGATTCTAGAATCCTTGTAAGGAAGGAAAGGGCTGAAGTGAGAGTGGAGAGTCTGATATTCAAAGGAAAGGAACATCCAGTGGCAGTGATCTGGTTTGCAATAGAATGCAATGGGAAAAAAATGAGTGAAAGTAGAAAGAAACATTGATTTGTCCAACTAGTCTACCTTCACTGGTTGATACTGTATGTGTTACAGGCAGCTGGGAATAAATCCAGTTTCATATTTTCTGAAGTTTACAAGCAATAAGACCAGATGTATTCCTTAGAGACTAAAATTCAGAGTCACACATTTTAAGGGCAGAAGGGATCTCTCTGATCATATAGTTCACATGGACTTCTTGCATATCACAAACCACAGGACTTCCCTAAATGACAGGTCTCTGTTTCTCTCCTTTAAAAACTCTATATTCAACAAGTTTCTTTTTAAACATTACTATCAGTACTTCCATAGCAAAAATAGAGCAATGTTAATGGAAAAGAAAGAACATATCAATAATATTCCTGTATTAAGGAGATAATATACACAATGCTTGAAACTGCAGCGCATCGTTTATCTTTCCTTTACACTAAGCGGAAGGAAAAAGAAGAAAAATGTACTGGTCAAAATTAAAAGGGGAAGGTAACCATGTTTGTGAACATCAAATTCTTTCTGTATGTGTGTGATGCTCACATTCGTACATTTAAATGCCAAAAGAAACAGTTGCCATTGTCCAATCTAACCTGCATAATGCCAGCCCCAGAACCTGCCCCAATAGTGTCTGCATAAAACTCCCATATTTGTTTAAATGATAGCATATATTTTAGAAAAATATCCAGTCTTGATTTAAAGGCTTCCAGGGATACAGAATCCATCACATCCCTAGGTGAGCTGTTCCTATAGTTAACGACTCTTCCTGCAAATCTGTACCTCATTTCTATTCTGAATTTGGCTAGTTGTAGCTTCAAATCATTGGATCTCATCATGTCTTTTTCTGCTGGATGGAACAGTTGTTAGCTATCAGAAAACTCTGCCTCCCAGAAAGTCCTCATACTCTGTGATCAAGTCTTCTCAAATTCTATAGATGTTCTGTTGTGTTTCCATGATTAGTAAGTTTAGTTTAAAGTATTTGCTGATTTTAAGTTTGTTTTTATTAAGGCTATGCAAAATGTAAGGGTCTTAAGTGGAAATCAGACTCCTTATATCTGGCCTATGGTCATCTCCAGGAATCACAGACGGAAAATCAAGCTACAGTCTGTTATAGTTGAAAAAGCAACAGTTTCTGTTCATCCACCTCAGGAAAATAAAAGTACAAAACCCTTTATGGCTTGGTCTGTTAACTTGACATAAAAAAGCACATACATTTCTTGTTTCCTAACAAGTTACACATGAATTCAGGTACTCCTAGGTTACTTACAGTGCTGGACTGGTTGCTAGCATGTACTAATTACTGGCTCAAGGTACCATAGCATTTTCCCAGAATTCCCCAAGTGATTTTATAAATCAGGCAATCTGCTTTATCTGCATTCATTCATCTCATTCTCAAAACAGTCAGGATTTTGTGTTTTCACATCAAAAATACATAAGCACTGAATAAAAATAGCCATAACTTTAAAACTGTTTCCTGTAATTGTATTTTTCCCTTCTGAACTTTTATCTTCAAGAGGCTAGACATTTGTGCCTGCAGCAAACAGCTACTCACTGTGGACAAGGAAGCAAAAATCTTTCCACATCAGTAACAGAGTGAGTTTTGTGAATCCTTCTGCATCATATTCAACCACACCACTATCAAAAAGAAACATGAAATAAGAACACAATATTTTAACTAATATTCCTTACAATTATGATTAAAATAAATGTCCAGTATTTAATAGTATTTTGTTCTATTCAAACACAGAAAACATATGGCTCCTTTCATACTGAATAACTTACTTATATCATATGGTCATCTTCAGTGTAACCAAGATATAGTTTAACATTATGACCATGGCACTTCCATAAAAAAATAATAAAGATTGGACATGTCTATCCAAATCTAGCTGTATGTTACTCAAACACAGATTATTAATGACCTAGATGCATGGGTTTATAGATAAAGTCTAAGACTTTATTGAAAAGCTAGGGACAAATAGCACAACATTCACTATTAGTTTAGGAAAAGACTAAATTTGAAAATTCCTATATCCACAGCATAAAAATATGTATTTTAAATTTAAGGAGAAGCTGGCAAATGGGCATTTTCCCTGAATCTGTGAAGAAAAGAATCCATCTGACAGCAAATTAATTTCTATTTTCTTGATTCTTTATAATCATCCAGGCAAGGGACAGAAATTGCACATAAACCAGTGTAAGTGATTGGAAACTGGTTCAAATCTGTAACACAATGGAAGTTCAGTGCACATAAATTGCTTTCAAAATGGCTGAAACCAGTTTAAGATACACCTAGATGGATACAGTATCAGACTTAACTAATTTAGCTTAAACTTTTGCCCCAGATCCAGTCCAGATTCAAGCCACCTGCTCCAGCAGACCAAGGAGGCATACTTTAGCACCCCCAGCATCTGGCCTGGGTCACTGCATGCATGTGTCTGCATTTCCAGAATCAAAAGTGAACATCTGTTCACTCACTTGTTGGTTCTATCTACGCAGCTCAGACTAACCTGCAAAGATTTAATTGATTCAACCTCAGGCTTTTTGACTGTTTGTACTTAGTCCCAGAGTAAGAAACTCATTTTTGCCAATCAGAATCAAAATCACCACATTTGCTTTTTAAATATTTTTATAATCACACAAACAATCTAATTGTCAAAGTAACATACAAGGAGCTAAATTATGGTTTTATGAACATCTTTTTCCTTAGACACATCAATAACCCAAACCATACATGGGGGGAGGGACACAGTCTCTAAAAGCCTTTCACAGTATTAGAGCATGGCATCTAAAATGATCCAGCCAAATAGTTTTTACACTTTGCTGTGTGAGCCATGTATATATTTTGATCATAAATATTTTTTTTTTACCCTGTAAACTCTGGGATGAGATCCCTAATGCCTGCATTCATGTGTAAATCACAGCAGAATTCTAGTGTAGTTCACTTTATTAGTGGGAAAATTAATTCTTTGTCTAATAACTATGTTATAAAGCCATGGTAAAAACATATGACAGGATTTTCTATAGTAAATCTTGTATTGAATAATTCTCAAGGAAAAAAACAACATGTTTTTAATTAGACCAGATCTCTAAAGTCTACATTAATTTCCTATTTGTACCTGGCTACAATTCAAGCCATGGGTATCAATCTAAAAAGTGGTACATGGCTTTGGTAAATGCTCTACTTAGGTGCTACTGTAAGCACTGGTGATGTTGCTTATAGCTGCTCTACATTCATCTTTTGTGTGATGTACCTTCATGATGATGCTAACTCTGTAGTCACCTTATTCAGAACTAAAGAAACTTCAACTGATTCAATGGTTTACTACCCACTCCTCATTTAGATCTTTCCTGAGTTGAACAGGTTGGTGGCTGGCTTTTAAGAGGACTGCTCTATAGCACCATCACTAAAAAAAGCCTATGTGCATCTGATTGGGTATATGGCTAGATCTGGACTTACCCAGTAAAGTGAATTACATAAACCAAGGGCCATGAAATGAAGACAGTCCCTCCTATGTTTTTGCTACTGTTGCAAGAAATAACGCATTTAAAGATGACTTACGTTCCAAAATGACTCAGGAATGCTGCAATATACTCTCTTCTCTTATGGTATCCCTGAATAACATATTGTACCTGCACAACAGAAATGGTTAAAAAAGCTTCAGTTATGAAGACATACCGCAGAAAGACACTCCTCCCAAAGTAAATTTTTTAGTTTTAGTGGAAAAATCTATTTACAAGATATTAATCATGTTGAAATGTACATGTAAACAACATGTGTCATCCTTAAATGCCTTTCAAACAAACAGTATGCAGGGATGTCTTCATTTAGCTTAAAAGGTGTTTAAGAGTCTACAGTATTAATATTTAACCATGCAAGGTAAGAAATGACAAAGAGAAGACAATGACCATATCCAAATGAAATGGATATGGTCAATGGCCTTTGACACCGTCTCTCACCCCATCCTAGTTAAAAAACTAGGCGACTGTGGCATGGATGCCTACACAGTCAGATGGATTGCAGATTGGCTGAAGGGTCGCACTCAGAGGGTGGTGGTGGATGGGTCATACTCGACCTGGGGGGAGGTGGGTAGCAGAGTCCCCCAGGGCTCGGTCCTGGGACCTGTGCTGTTCAATTTCTTCATCAGCGATCTAGATGATGGGGTGGAAAGTAACCTGTTTAAATTCGCTGATGACACCAAAATTTGGGGGGAGGTGAGCATGCTAGCAGGGAGGGAGAGATTGCAGAAGGATCTGGATAGGTTACAGGGGTGGGCTAACAGGAACAGGATGCGTTTCAATACGGACAAGTGCAGGGTGCTGCACTTGGGCAGTAGGAACCAGCAGCACACTTACACAATGGGGAACTCCCTACTTGAGAGCACGGAGGCAGAAAGAGATCTTGGAGTCATTATTGACTCCAAGATGAACATGGGCCGACAATGCGAGGTCATGGTTGGCAGGGCTAACCGGACCTTGTCGTGCATCCACAGGTGCATCTCGAGTAGAGCCAAGGAGGTGATCCTCCCCCTCTACGCGACGCTGGTCAGGCCACAGCTGGAGTATTGTGTCCAGTTCTGTGCGCCCCATTTCAAGAGGGATGTGGACAACATGGAGAGGGTCCAGAGGAGGGCCACCCGCATGATCCGGGGACAACAGGGCAGACCCTACAGTGAGAGACTGCGGGACCTGAACCTATTCAGCCTCCACAAGAGAAGGCTGAGGGGGGACCTGGTGACCATCTATAAACTCACTAGGGGGGACCAGAAGGGTTTGGGGGAGACGCTGTTTCCCCTAGCGCCCGCTGGCATAACAAGGAGTAATGGGCACAAGTTGATGGAGAGGAGGTATAGATTGGACATCCGCAAAAACTACTTCACAGTTAGGGTGGCTAGGAGCTGGAACCAACTTCCAAGGGAAGTGGTGCTGGCCCCTACCCTGGGGGTCTTTAAGAAGAGGCTGGATGCCTACCTGGCTGGACTCATTTGAGTCCCGTTTTTGTTTTGGGGGTTTTTTTTGTTCTCCCGCCCTGGCGGGGGGTCGGGCTAGAAGATCTACTAGGTCCCTTCCGACCCTAAATCTATGAAACTATGAAATGGCAGAAAGATCCCGATCCAACAAAATGTAACAGGCTGAATATGTTTCAGGGTTGTTGGTTGTAGCTGTGTTGGTCTAAGGACATAGGCATGCAAGGTTCGTTGAATACATGTGATATCTTTTGTTAGACCGACTGAAAAAATGTTCTTTGCAAGCTTTCGGGCACAAATGCCCTTCAGGCATAGGCAGAGACTGCTGGTGTTATGTGTTCTCTAATGTGTTCTTTTCTACCTTGGAGAACGCATGACACCAGCAGAGTCTCCCTATGCCTGAAGAATGGCATTTGTGCCCGAAAGCTTGCAAGTAATGTTTTTTTCCCCCCAACTATTCAGTTGGTCTAATAAAGGATACCACATCTACCCCATAGAAGCTTGCCCACCTACGGGCTAAATAAGCATTTAAAAAGGATAACAAGATAACAATTAGTGAAATTTGGTCTGGACCATGATCTTGGGTGTCACCTGAAAGACAATCTCCTGTACCTCTTATCCTATGCTGTTTAACTGATTTCATGTTGATTCAAACAGAAGAGAGCCACATACTGAACAATAAACACCAGTTTTTGAAGCATTCTGTATTTTCCTTGAAAGTCTTCCCTATGAGCAGTTATGCATTCCAAATATGCTAATCTTGGAAGTTCTGAGGCAAAATGAGTTGTCTTATTGATCTGAATGAGATCATTCACGGAGTAGAGTGATCAAGGTTTGAGCAATACTGGGACCAATACACCAAACAAGCTGAATGAGCATTCAGTTTCCAACTCATCATTTTCTGCACTTTTGGATGTTTCCATTTTTAATCACGCATATAAATCCACATCCACTTTTCAGAATGAAAACTAACTTTTTTAAAGCCTCTTTTCATGCTGAGTGAAAAAATGAGTGGGAGAAAAATATATATTTTATTTTTGTTGGCTATGGTAACATTAGATTTCCTTGGCTTGCAACTGCTTGTACTGAATTATTTTAAATAACCTTGATAAAATCATTGCTGAGAGCTATGTTATACCTTCTCAGAGTAAAATAATTCTATTTATACAACAGACTTATTTCAGTTTATAAAAAAGTGCTTATTTTGAAGGCTTTGTGTGGGATCTAAAATGTTATTTTGGGAAAAGGAAAACATGATAAGTTTGCTTAAGTGACTTTGTTTAAAAAAAAGGATAAAAACAGTCCTGTAGATTTTAAAAACAGAAAGTAATTTTAACAGAAAACCACAACAAAAACAACTCTAAAGATAGATTCCATTATAATTATGGAAATGCGTTTTAAAGGAACCTTTCCTAAAAGACATCATTTGTTTTCCTCATTTAAACAAATAAAAAAATACAAAGAGGAAATGTATAGTAACCAGAATCCTGCATGTCTGGCTCTAAGTTGGTCTTCTAAGTTAAAGAGTAAACTTAAATCATTTGAGAATTTTTCAAAATACTGTATCTTCATGAATAACCCTGTTCCTTTTTTTTTTTGGCTGAAGAAGTAAGCCAATCAGAATACAGCTTTGCAGTAAAGGCAAGGTAAGTGGCTATTACTTTACTATATCAACATCCATTAGAGAAGATGATTCAGTCTATTCAGATGATTTATCATGGATAAACTTATTGTAAGAGGACCCTCTCTAACCTGCACAGAATATCCAGTGATGAAAATGGTATAAAATCTTAAAGAGAGATTTGTCTTCCAGTAGAAAGATGTATTGACTATACATTTGTATTTATATAGGAGAAGAACAGCAATATGTTGCAGTGACAATCCTAAATTATATCTTGATTCAGTAAGAAAGCCCATGCAATAGTTTCACCTCAACAGATGTTCTGTCCTTGCAAATAAGAATTCAGTAGGATAGGTGGGTGCTCAATGTTTCTCAGCATCCAGGTATAAGAAAATACTACGTGAATCATATACATGAATCATTCAGTTTTAAAAACCTCTGTCTCCAGAACGGTTTCTTAAAGTGTTTTTAAAATTCAGTGGAACACCAAAAGAAAAGGGAAAAGGGAACTAAACTCACCTTATTGGTTAGCAGCTGGCAGACTTGGGGTACATAGTCAATAAGGCAGCCACCACTTGGAAAGGCTGGGATGTGAAGGGCAGATGATCCTCCCAGAGCACTAGAATAATATATCACAATACATCAGATACTGGTGCTCTGGGACTTGCTTGCGATTCTTGTACTCTATCCTTTCTTAATCTTCAAAACATGCACAATACCAAGAAAATACTTTAGCATTGTTTACATTACCCATGACAATGTAATGCCATATTTAGTTGCATATCTCATGCACTTTTGCACCCAAAAATCAACCCCCCAAATTTAGGGTGCATATTTTAAGCAGGAAGGCTGATTTTCTTGCCAGAACAGAAGTAACCCACTTTGAGTTCTGCTTCACCCAGCAGCAGCAGTAGCATTTTTATTCAGGCAGTTGATGGAGTCAATTGTCTTAATATCTCATTCTTCTTCACTTCAGAGGTGTTAACCACCATCTCTCCTTTTTAATGGCCTTGATGTTCCATCGATCTAAACTTTCTTGAGACAATTTTGCTGCCTATTGGCTATTCCTGGTGTCTTTTCCTACTTCACAGCCCTACACAAACAGTCTTTGGCTCCTTGCAAAATCATAGATCAGCCCATTGTGGTAGCAGCTAGAATTTCAGATTTTCCTGATGCAAAAAAGGGAAGGTGAGCTGAAGATTAGGCTCTGCCACTGTTCTATGCAACTGTAACCATGGAAAAATCCTTCATTATTCATTCTGCCTTCCTAAAAACAAGATGTGTACCTTATTTTGGGACATGTGTTATGTGAGAAATAAGTAATGCAGTAAGTATTAGAGATATGAATTATAATGATAAGCTGATACTATTGCTGACCTTACTGACAAGTGGACATGGATGGGTATGTCTACATAATTATCAAGGGGTATTCCCCAGGCCACCCTTCACACAAGGGCCTGCAGACTATCCACACTACAAACCCCTATGCACACCCTCCCAACAGCAATCCAGCCTTTCCCTGAAACTCACTTGAACATAAGGGCCAGAGGCTAAGCTTCTCTCTAGCTCCTCCCCCTCCCCAGCGTGTTCATAACTTACTGAAGCAATATAGGAAGTTCGCACTTCCTGTTTCTATTACCCATAATTACGGTCAAACACAGAAGGAAAGACAAGAAGTAGCTGCGATTCCTAGAAGGGCTTTTTTTGAATTTCCTATTTTGTTTTTCTAGGAATCAGTCTTCAGAATCAGGTATTCACCAGCCTACTTCCCTCTAGGTCAGCTTTTTAACTGAATGTCATCCATCACTGAGCATGAAATCATCTGAATATAGATACCATATAAATATCAGAAGCTAGAATATAGTGATTCTCTAAGCAGGAGCATTAAACTCACCCAGGGCCCTATGCTGGACCTGGATCATGGGGTTCCTCCCAGGTTGGATACCCAGGGCCAGTGCCTGCAACAGCAGTGCATCCAGTAGAGGCAGCAGTGAGGGTCTGAGGGTGGTGATCAGGCAGCAGAGGAGCCAAACTGTTGTGACAATCATCTGGGCATGTTGGGGCTCTGCTGCTGCTACTTGGCCCTGCCACTGCCGCTCTCAGACCCTTGAAGCAGCTGCCACTTGTCCAACTGCTGGAGCCCTCATTCACACCCCTGCCAGCAATGGCCATGACCAGTGAGGCCCAAAACCCTCAAACTCTGTGGCAGACAATACTTTTTTTTGTCAGCCCCCCCCGCAACTTCTGGTAGCCTGTCAGTAGGCTAGTGGGTCAGAAAGAACAGTTTCACAAGCTGGACTCAGCCTGCAGCCATATGTTGGACAGCCTAGCACTAAAGGAACATTGAGCTATGCCTGCGTTTCCCAACCTTTTCCAGCCCAAGCCACATTTATATTAATAAAAATTTTCCGCAGCACACCTGTTAAGGCATTCCCCATCCTCATATCTATTGCAGCTCCTTACCATGGCAAAATTCGGTGGTGCACCTGTTCATTTCTGATGGCACACTGGTTGGGAAATACTGCTACCCTAATTTATTAATAGACCTTTCTTGTACCAGTAAAATTTGAGATGGGGCTGTAATTGTCAGCTTTCAATCTGTGGCTTCTTCAGCCAGCAAGACCCAAAGCACTGCTTGTTCAAAGTTGTTCATTACCTTGTACACTCAGATACAGGAAACAACTTCTCCTCTCAGTGACAAAGAACAGAAGAAGCTTCTCATTATTTGTTACCATGCTAGACAGACATGAATTGAATCACTCTCAAACCACTGAGGACCTAGCTACGTGAAACTGAATGAAACTGGAAAAAAGCTAAGATGTAACTTTGTGTCCTCATGTTTACATGTTACTCTCACAAAAACAGTGTAACTGGTTAGGATTGGACAGATTTTCCCTATAAAACAAGGTCTTTAGTCTACAAAGATATCTGGATATCTTTCAATAGATTCACGGCAATGTCCACCTTTGTGAGAGGTAGGAGCTTCTATACTTGCAGATCCTTTTGAAGGACTGGAGCCTACACAAAAACAAATTATTAAAATCAGACATTACTGAAATCTGTTAGTGAATCGAAACAGTCTGGATTCAGCAGATGGTTCAGCACATGGAACAGTGCTCTGGGTCTGGACTTTGCAGATGCAATGATGAATGAGAAAAAGAGTATACCACAGCTACACAAAAAAATGAAAAAAAAATCCCTCTTCTCTATGCAGCAATCAGATTAGGACTGAATTTTCTGACTCCAGCTTCATTTTCTTTCTTTCTTGGCTGGTATCCACTCACCTTTAAGTAAGGCCTGGTTTAAATCATGATTTTGTATTTTTTGTGAAAATCACAAAATTGAGGGATTTTTATGAAAAATGCAGTTTGCAACAAAATGCCATTATATAGCCGCTTGCTGAGGAGTTCCCCAGCAAGTGGCCAGATTGTGCCGTTTTGCTGCAACAAGAGGGCTGCTGCAGGCTGCAACCATGGACCTGGCACTGGAAGAAAAGGATCTCCAAGCACCAGCCCCGTGATCGTGGACCTGGTGCTGGTAGATAAGGGTCTCCCACTGCTGGTCCCACAGTTGTGGAGCTAGCGCTGGTACATAAGGATATCCCAGATGAAGCCCCACAACCACAGAGCTTGAGCTGGGAGACAAGGGTTTCTCAGGACCGGCCCACGGTGCAGAGCTGGTGCGACTCCTTGCTTGCAGGAGCTGGAGAGCTTGTTCTCCACCCAGCTCTGTGCTGCTGCATATGCGGGGCAGGGGCTGGGAACTGTCCTGGTCAGGGGCAGGTCCGGGCCCCGGGCCCCAATCGGGTGATCAAGGCATGGGGCTTGGAAAGAGCTTCAGGAGTGGGGTAGGTCCCAGCCCCCTGTCCCTTTCTGCCAGTGGGGTAGCTAGCAGCAAGCTAGCTGCTAGCTGCCCCACCAGCAGATCAATGCAGGAGGCTGAGACCTGCCCCTCCCCTGCAGCTCTTTTAAAGTCCCCTGCCCCTGATTGAGAAGCCAGGGCCAGGAGCTCCCTGCTGCCAGGGCAGGGGAACATTGTCCCTACCCCAGCAGCCCATGGAGATAAGATGCTCCTGCTTCCTTGCATGTGTAAATGCCTGTCCAGGAGCGCTTACTCACAAGTAAACTGATCCTGGATCAAATGCATGTGTAGACATGCTCACTGTGGAGAAAAAGGATGTAATTTGGTCAGTTACAGATGTTCAAAGACAGAAGTGGATCCTAATCTATTACTAGGCTATCATATGCCTAGTCTAGTATCCGAATGGTGTTTTAACTTAGAACCTGTACTACTTTGAGGTTAGATAGATGAAACAGGGGACCAAAGACTGTAAGGAATCTCCCAGGTCACTGAGTCCAGTCCCCTGCTTTTGAAAGTAATAATTTAATCTAGAAAGGTTTACAAGAACATCCTTTTCAGCCCCTCTCTCAAACTGGATTTAAAAATAAACAAACCTTGCATTGTACCACAGAAAGAGAGCAATGCTTGAAATATTACAGTAGGTTCTGACCCTTGTTTAAAAATGCTAAAGATGACGCCTTGACAAGTTTGTAATGTCCACCCTCTCCATATTTATATACATATATCCAGAGAACACTCCCAGTTATTTGTAAGGAAGAGTACTGCCCATTCCAGGCCTCCTTTTTCCTCAGTTGCACCCAAGGCCAAGACTCCTCAGCCATGAGATTCCACTGAAGCTGGTCCAATTATTAGAAAGGAAATCACAGATTCTTCTTATCATTTGAATAGCAGACATGGCTTCAGGAGTCACAGGAGTACCAAGGCTTCCAGCTTCCAAATGATTATTTGAAATTTGTGATTAAGGATTTGTCTATATGAGAAAGATTTGCTGTGTGTGAGCAGCTACACAGACTCCTACTGTGAATGCAGTTACACTACTGTGGAAGTACTTAGACCAAAAGAAACTATTCCATTTTGGAACTGATATAAATTATGGCATTATAAGGCATATTTACACTGGTATAAGTGCATCCACTTTATGAATGATGCCAGTATAACTACACCAATTAAAAATAAGTCATAGTGCCTAACAGAATTTATAAAAACAGATTATTTAAAATGCAATTACTTAGCTAAAAAAATGTTTAAAAAGAAAGTTGAATTTGTTTAAGCCTAAACTTATGATCAGCCTTAAAACATTAAAAAATATACTGAATCCATACGCTTATATCAAAAACTTTAAGATAGAAGCTGGGTGCTTTTCTGTAAAAAGAAAGAATCAGGGGAAACGCATCTAACTTTTGAATAATGCTTTATGAAAATGGTGTAATCCATTATGAATTCTATTAAGCACTTGATACTGTGGAGGAGCACGGGTGATGTACTGTTAGGTGCAAGAATCTAACTAAATAATGACAGGCTTGGGACCCAGCCTCTGACCTTAGGAAACACCATTATGTATTTCATCAGCATTACATTCCAGTTACCATTCTAATACAGCTGTTTGATACAAATCATGAGCAAAAACTTAACTATCTAGTAAATGAGCAATATATCACTTGCCTTCTTCAAATATACTAAAAATGTATAATTAATAATGTGGAAATAGTGAGCAATATAATTGCTTATATAAATGTCTATAGTTAAAGTATAAAGGCT